GATTCTGAATGCCATATACCTGGGGATTACTTGAGAGAGAATGGCTATTCAGTGGAGACCATATAGTAAGGATGAAGAGGATGTTGACCAGAAGAAAAAGCTGGGACAAGGTAGGTAAGCAGGATATGCAGTGAAGGAAGCCCAAGACGCATCTCAGACAACAGAAATGACAATAAGTGCAGCGTCACAAGGAAAGACTCCACGACAGTGCAACAACCTGAAATTTTGTTATCTAAGACCTCTACAAAGAGGAAAACAGTAATGTGTTAAAATTCTATTCAGGCACAGTCTACAAACACAGCTCATGCAACTACAACGTTTCAGCTAGATTCTCTCTCTCAGTAGGGCTCCTATGCCTAGTCTAAGCCAGAATCTCTGCAGATATTAAAATTTAGAAATTATACTTTAAAACAAGAGATAGATGAATTCTAGCTCACTTGAAAATACATATTCTGTCCATAATTTTAGGCTTTCTTCTCATTTTCTTCATAGCTCTAGAATCCCATCATTAACTTGATCTTAAACCTATTGCATTATTGCAATTACAATTGCATCTGTTGTGTTTGTTATAGTATGCTGTTCTGTATGGAATTCCAAATAAAAGCAGATCTTCCCTTGTCCTTCCTTTCCTCCTTCCTTCCTTCCTTCCATCTTTCCTTTCTTCCTTCCTTTCCTCCCTCCCTTCCATTCTTTCTTCTTTCCTTCTTTTTCTTTATTTTGTGTGTATGGGGCTCAGGAGAACTGAAGACTTAAGTCAGTAAATTAAGCACATTAAGAATATGCTCTACCCTTGACCTATAATTTCAGCCCCATAAAATTAATTTTAAATAAAATATAGTTTTATCATTATAGCTTTGTCTTAAGTTTTCTTCTTTTTAAAATTTTAAATAGGACATCATTTTTAAAATTGAAAGTGACATGATCATATATGTGTTAAAAATTGATTTTTTTTCATTTATTCATATGTGCATACATTGTTTGGGGCATCTCTCCCCCTGCCTATCCTCCTGCCCCTTCCCTCTCCTCCCACTGCCCTCTCTTTCAGGCAGAACCTGCTTTGCCCTCTTCTCCAATTTTGTTGAAGAGAAGACACAAGTAATAAGAAAGACATAGCATTTTTCCTAGCTTGAGATAAAGATAGCTATACAGAGATATTCCTAACATTGCTTCCATGCACATGTGTATTACACACAAATTGGTTGATCTCTACCAGATCTCTTCACTACTTCCCAGTCACCTTCCCATAGTGGCCTCTGTCAGTTTAAGATTACTTTATTCGCTCCTCTACAGTGAGCACATTAAACACTTTCATGTTTTGGGTTTCCTTCCCTTTCCCTATTCCTCCTGTACACATTCTCCCCTTAACATGTAACTCATGCCCAACAATATTACTGCATTTGGTTTCAGTCTAAAGTTTGCATATGAGGGAGAACATACATTTTTGGCCTTCTTCTCACTTAAAGTGATGTTTTGCAGTTCCCATTTACTTGCAAATGACAAAAACCTAATGAAATGATGAATACCAAAACTTTTCTACCATATTTGATAATGAATGATCTCTACATTCCAATAATAAATGTATCAACACATATGCTTAAAAGATACCACATTGAAAATAGCTTTATATTAGTTTATCAAATGACCAAGAATATTAGTTATGTCATATAACAGTAATAAAATAACTAAACAGACAAACTTAATGTTCTTTTGTATGATAAAACTATTTTGGGAATATTGCCTATTCCATGATAATATAGGCCATGGATACATTAAAATTCCAGATTTGGAATATCAATTTCACAGAAACATTTTTGTAGGGGGAATCTTGAAAGCAGTAAAAGCAATAATAAAATATCTGGCAAAATTGCCTTACATAAAAAAATACCAGTTAAACCATTTTTAGATGAATGAAAGATGAGGGAGTATATTACCATGTATCATGTACTATGCATCACATGAGAAACGAGAGTATTTCAAATTGAAAATAATGAAATTGGGCAGTAACTAAATGTTATACATAATATAATATAAAACGAGTACTATAATCTTAGTGCAACTTCATATTTTGTTTTCTTTTTTGTTAGCATATATTAATTGTACAAAGGGATTTTATTGCAACTTTCCATACATGCATATAATGTTCTCAGATAAAATTCTCCCTCTATATTGATCATGTTCTTCTTTTGCTCTCCACCCTCCCACAGGTTTTAATATATCAACCTTATCATCACACCCTGATAATCTCTCTTTAACTTGATACAGTTTAATGGTAAGGATTTCAAATGTATTTTTATTTGATTTATTGAGCTTTTCATTTCCAGATTTTCAAAGTTGTTTTTTCAGAATTTTACATATCTTTACTAATTTCCTGTTTCATATCTTCATTTTCTTCCTTATTTGCATTATCTTCAAATTCATTCAATTGTTTGTATTTTTTTGTATATATTCAAGTGTTTATGCATTTCCTCCATATTTTCATTGATCAATCTTATAACCATTCTTTTGAGTTCTTGGTATGGAAATTCATCCACTTCACTATGGTTATTGTACATTGAATGTGTGTTTCATAACCATGCAGAGGATGTACAGCATACAAAGTAAAAAATCAACTGCTCAAAAACAAACCAAATATTTAAATGCAGTACAAAGAAATTGGAAACATCAAATATGGGTATAGAAGAGAGGGCCTATGGTTCATACAGTATTAACTAGCAGTTTAAGAGTTATTAACGGTATAGGTATTATAAATTAAATAATATAATGATGGAAGTGTGAAGGAAGAAAGAAAGAACAAGGAATCTAAAAGAAGGGAAGTATATGGGACGAACATGTCAAAAGTTATAGTGTGGGAGAGCACAGTCTAATTATTTCAGAGAAAGAAAACACAGTCAGCAAAAGAGACAAGAGTCAAAAAAGTACAACAATTAATAGAGAGGTAAATTTAAAAAACAAAAGTCTAATTTTGTTCCTTACTGAGGTGAGAGGTCTATTGGAGCTGGGTTCTGTCATGGTAGTGTTTTCTTCCAATCTCTGGTACTCAGAGTTCTGCCCATGGTATCCCAATGTGTTTACCCCTGGTTCCCACAGGGCAACTGTTAATCCATGAGACCCCTCTGAATGCAGCCTGAGTATGCTAGTCAGTAAATGAGCCACACCTGAGGCAGGGCTGGTGAGGATGGGGAAGATTCTGCTCTATGTCAGCCATGGGAAAGACTCGGATCATGACTTATGGTTGAAAAGCAGCTCTACGTATGTTGTACTTGTGCCTGACAACGATTGTGGGTATAGGGTGCTTCTAGGTGCCAGTGGCAGCAGCTGGAAGCAAGGAGTAGTCTCCGCACAGGTAGCACCAGGTCTGTTGTGTCAATAACAGCTCTGAATGTGAAGAGTCATGGCTAGTAGCAGTAGCACTTCTTCCACTTTTAGTTTTCTAAATTAATAAGAAGATAAATAGATAAGTAATTATAATAATGTGTTGATGTATTAACTGGGGTAGAGCTGAAAAGAAGTTCTGGTTTTTATTACTGCAATTACACTTCAATTGGCAGCAATTAAAATTGATTTTAATAGGTTTAGAATGTTATATTTAATTCCCATGGTAATGAAAAATAAAAAGGAAACAAATATATAATGATAACTGAGCAAACTGTATCATACTTAACATAGAAGAGGGAATGGAATTGGCATGTCACAAAATAAAATCAACTAAAGAGAAAGGCAGTAGTAATGGAAGAAATGATGGTGTACAAAGCTATTAGAGAAACAGAGAAAAATGAAAAAGTAAATCCTTTATTAATAATTTCAAATGGTAATAGAGTAACCTTTCCAAAAGATATAGATAAAGAGCACACTTAAAAATAGGCACATCTATTTATGTTCTAGAGTATCACCTTATGCCTAAGAACAGGCATTATTTGTCTGTGTAAAAATGAAATACCATATTGGGTGCAAGTAGTGACAAAAAAAACTCTGTGGTTTCCAGAAGAGAATCCAAAGTCCTGCCTTTCCAGCTCCAAGATTCACCCACATTCCTTACTCCACCACTCTATACTCCCATGTTTCCAACAACTAATTTTATTGTCACATGCCTTGTCGGTGACAACCTCACTTCCTATCACAAGGACACTTGTTATCACTTTAGTCTCGGATAATATTCACTTCTAAAAATCATTGACTTCATCCCATTGTCAAGATCATTTTATATATATGGTAATATTTTGGGTTTCAAAGATCAGAGCATAGATATCTCTGGGTGGAAGGGTGTTAGTCATCCAAAAATGACTGTTTCCCTCTCCAAGAACACTGTCCTCCTATAAAGTAGAATAAAAATGATAGGAAAGATTTATGAATCAGAAGATGAGGAAGTAATTGGAGACTCAGGGAATTTTGATGTATGGGGTTTAAAGGTTGGGGGATTCTTATTTCATAGCCTCTAATGCAGATAATTCTGTGAGTCTATTTGTTTTCAAAACATTTTATTTTTGATTTATCATACATTAATAATATGAGGGAAGTTCATTGTGAAAATTCCATACATAGGTAAAGTCTATTGTGAACAAGTTCACCCCCTCCATTACATTCTCATTCCCCATCTCCTTCTTCCCACCTCTTCCAGCATTTCATGGGTTTCATTATGCTGTCTTCATATGTGTATATGTTGTGTAATTCCATCCTCTTCAACCCTCAGTATTCTTTTCTTTCTCTCTATTCCCACCTGCTTGTCCCTCCAGGCAAATTTCCCATACACTTGCATGTGAAAGAGACTTGTAGCTTTGGATGATGGTGCAACTATGATTCACTTACTGTGAAGTTATATAATACATGAGATTTGGGGATCCTGGACCTATGATGAGTAACAAGTGTATCAGGCTTGCAGCTTTGTTTAGCCTTGCATAGCCCCTGCTGATTTGCATGTTTCCCATGCCCAACCCACTGTCCTGGATACTTCTAAACAGGCAAGTCACACACTGTATAGGAATAGATCTCAGTCAGGAAACAGCATGGATAGGAGGTCCCATACTCAGCTCCTGGGGCTACTGCTGCTCTGGCTCTCAGGTAAGGAAGGGCAATACTGAGGATTTACTTAGTTCAGAGTGGTCAGTGTTGCTTCAGTCTTCGGGAAAGTTCTCTAATGCCAAGATTAATACTATGTTTTTTGTGTATGTTTCCAATATCAGGTGCCAGTTGTGACACCCAGATGACCCAGACTCCATCCTCCCTGTCTGCATCTCCAGGAGACAAAGTCACCATCACTTGCAGGGCCAGTCAGAGTATTAGCAATTACTTAAACTGGTTTCAGCAGAAACCAGGGAATGCTCTTAAGCTCCTGATCTACAATACTAACAGTTTGGAATCTGGGATCCCATCAAGGTTCAGTGGCAGTGGATATGGGACAGACTTCTCTCTCACTATCAGCAGCTTGGAGCCTGAAGATGTTGGGACTTATTTCTGTCAGCAGTATGATGAGCTCCCACCACAGTGATACAAGCCATAACGTAAACCACCCAGGGAAGCAGAAGTGTGAGACTGGACTGCCCCAGTTGCTTCTCCAAATATACTCACTTGCTAAGATCCTTTCTCAGATACAGCCAGACTATGACTTCACTGGAATGTTTTTGGTAGAGGGAGCAAAGGAAATTCCTCTTCATCCTAATTTTATTTCCTTCTGCTAAGCTCCAGCAGGACAGACATGACAACTCCTCTCTATATTTAATAAAGAATACAAGTCAGTACTCCTGAACATTCTAGACAAAGTAGATGCCACTCTAGGCATGCTAATCAGGACTTTTTCTTTAAAACTTTGGGAATTTTAGCTACAGTCTTTCAAAGCCTGAGACATGTTATAAAGAAATGCTGATAATAGAAAGGGTTTCCCTCATGATCCTTTAGAAAGCAGTGGTCATCTCCCACTGAATTTGTAGGCTGCCAAACCCTGTAGTCCTTTTTCCTGTTTTGATGGTCCATGGGTGGGATACTGATATCTCAACTGCCTGCAGTTTCCTACATATTATTTTTTTGATGCTCCTTCTGTCACGGTTCCTGACTGCAGTTGTTACTGAATATTAAATCATCTCCTTCTTCCTTTAAATTTTATGAGAGGTCCATTTATGCTGCAAATATATGAGATATCATACTATAAAGAACTTGTGGAACTATGATCTTCTAGAACTGATGATGATGATGGGGAGTTAATAACTGACATCTCAGTGTTTAAGAAAAAAAATTAAGTAAATGAAATTTAACAGTTGATTTTAGCAAACAAACAATTCATGAATTTGAAAGCATGCCAAACCAAAACAGGTATGGAAAACTCTGACCTGCAACTTAGCCAGGTAACAAGTCTGAACAGCAACAACAAAAAAGAAATGAGGAAAGTAACCAACTTGTCTTTGCTTTGTTTGTACATATTCTGATCAGTTGGCTGCCCACTATTGAAGCTAAGATGCTGTGATAGACTGAAACTCAGATATTTGAAATACATGTGTGCTTCTTAGTTTAGGTTTGTCAGTTTACTTTATTAGTTAGTTTGCAGTTTGTTAAACAAGGACTCAAGTATAGAGGCGTCCTCAGTGTGAGTTTAGTTTAATGTAATATTAGCCTGCTTGATATTTCCACAACTTGTAGAATTTTGCCAAGTAGTGATCATTTCAGAATATACTTTTACCATCTTTAAATATCACCAGGGAACATTGGATCACCGAAACAAAACTTCATTAAGTATAAACATTAAAATGATAAAACTTCATAAAATAGGTAAGAATAATTTGCCAAACAAATGAAAAATCTCACTTGATCAAAAATAAAGCAAAACAAAGAAATATACCATAAGAAAAATTTAAGTAGCATTTCTTTCTTTACATAAATTAGCTTGTGATTGAATATGGTCTAGAAGCCTGCAGCCTTCTCAGCATCTTGACAGCATTTTATAAATGCAAAATAATAGTCACCTTATGACAATTAACGACAACATACATTTTAGCAAGGTAATAGAAAGTCTGTAGGAATTTGAAATACGTACATTTTAAGGGCATTTTGAAAGCACACTGGGCTTGATTTTCTAGCCAGTGAAATATTGCAATTATCACGTTTTGCTGACTGTAAAGGCACTCAGTGAAATTTGGTTGAGGATTTTGTCTACTCTTCCACTTGCCATGACAGTGTTGTGTGCTGAGTTGTAACTGTCCTTCAATTATGACCCCAGATAAAATCAGCCTATAGGTTGGAAACAAACTCACTCCTCTGCAGTAGAAAAACCTTTCTGATCCCTGCATTGAGCAGCCAGAGGACTGTTAACATGAGCATCTATAACCTTAAAAATAAATGCTTACTGTTACAAGACACGGAGGGTTAAGTAGATGGTGTCAGTGTGGAGTGGCAGGCAGAAGGAGCTCCTTCCACAGGCTGCATTACCAGTGCTGTTCTTTGATGTTTTCTACAGACTTCTTTGGAGTTTGTTACATGAAGCTTCCCAACAGTATGAAGTAATTCAATATATTATAGTACATCATTTTCTGCTGTGAGACTTGACTTTTGCAATCTAAAACATTGTTGGCTTCACACTGGCAGCATTACTTTCTAATTATAGTACTTTTCAGTAATTATATCATAGGAAGCCAACATGAAAAATCTTCCATGTCATCACGGATACAAGCCGAATAATGCCTTAGGAGACACTGGTTTCTTATGCAGCTGCACTGTCTCATAGAATAAAAAGTAAAAATTATAAACTCTTTGTTCCACCATCAAAGACCATTTCCAAAAACTTTTGATTTTGTTGTGAGGGCTGTGTCGAGCCGGGTATTGTTCCTGCCATTCTGATGAGGTGAAATGATACAGAAAGTATAAATTCAGCTTAGAAAACTATATTTTCTTATGATAAAAACTACCATAAAATATGGACCTTTTAAAAGTGGCATCTTTACAACAAAAGCATAGGAAGCAATAAAAAAGCAGATAAATCAAATGACATCAAAATTAAAACTTGTATACCTCAAAAACATGATGAACAAGGTGAAAGCACAAACTGTGAAAAATAGAAAATACTTGTAAATTAAATAGCTGATGAGGAAATAATATCTAATATATGAAAATACCTCCTGCAAGTTCACAATAGAAACACAGGAAAAAACCCTACAACTAGTAAATCTGGTCAAAAGTTAGCTAAAAATTTGATTATATATTTCCCTAATGACAATTTACAAATAGTCAATAAGCACATGAAAATGTCCTCAGCATCACATACCTAGGGAAATGAAAGCAAAAAGCACAGTGAGCTACTACCTCCCACCTGTTGTGACAGGCAATTAAAAAAAAAGGAATTTCTACAAGCCAGAAAATTATCAACATTGCTTAGGATTTGCATGTTACTGACCACATTGCAAATGATCCAATTGCTATAGAGAATGGAAGGCTATTTCTCAAAAAAACTAAAATCAGGTGCTCCATATGATTCAGAATTTCACATTTGGACACACACACACAAATCTGAACACAGAAAATTGAACATATTTACACACCCACATTCACAACATCATGTTTTAATAAAAGCCCAAAATTGAATGTAACCCAAATGTTCACCTGTGAAATGATAGATACTCAACATGTAGTATAGTCTGATAATGAGCTACTATTCACCTACAGAAATGAAGGAATTTGTGACAGATATATTTATGAACAATGAGCACATCCTCCTATGACTATATCTTGAAATGTTTCCCTGTAGTAGTTTGAAAGTTTAGACCACACGTTATGGTCTTGATCCATTTTGAGTTGATTTTTTAAAACAGAGTCAAAGATAGAGATTCCAGTTTTCCCAACATCATTTTTGAATCGGTCTTTTCTCCAATACATCCTTTTATAAAGAATCAGTTGGCTGAGTTTGAGAGCTGCTCATATGCCCCAAAAAGGATGGGTGGATTAAGAAAATGTGGCGAATACCAACAATGGAGTTTTCTACAGTCATAAAGAAGGATGAAATTATGTTGTTTCCATCTAAATAGATGGAGCTAGAAGACTTCATGTTAAGTAAAGTAAGTCAAGCTCAAAAAATCAAAGTCATCTATATTCTCTCATATGTGGAAGCTAGATCTACAAGTTAAATGTATCTGTAGAAACATATATGATCTTATATATACACATATATAGATAACTATATATGCATTGAGAGTGAGAAAAAATTGTATTAGTGAGTCTGTCTGAGGGGACTATGAGATGTAGGAGAGAGAAAGAAAATGTTAGACAATGAAAAATATTGAAATAACCAACCTATATATGAAAATAACATAATCCACTGTGCAGTATGGTATTTAATATTATGTGAACAGTGATATATAACGAGTAAGTAACAGAGGGGATGGGGTTAATTTGACAAAAGCATGGTATATACAGACCTAAAGTGCCAAGGTGAAATACCATTGGCCTATCAATATACACTTAATTAAAAAATGAAGGGCAGGTGGAAAAAATAAGTCTTTTCCAGGGGTGGGTAACAGCATTTATGTGTGTGTGGGAACACAAGGAAAGGAGGAATAAGGTTGTATATGGTGGATGTATTTTGTATCCATATATGAAAATAGAAGAATGAAATCAGTTGTAATTGTTCTAAGAAGGGGATTGGGGGGGAAAAAGGGAGAATGATGGAGTAGGCAAATCAAACTAATATATATTGTATGGACATATGTAAATACCACAACTACTATATGCTAATATAATCTGAAAACAGAAAAAAAGAATCAGTTGGCTGGAGCTACAAAAGCTTTTTCTAGATCATCTATTTTATTACATTTGTCTTCATCTCTATTTTTGTACCAATACAATAATATGTTTTTTTAGCTACAGCTCTATAGCATAATTTGAAGTCAGATATTAGAATTCTCCCAGTGCTGCTTTTTTTGCTCACTATTATTTTAATGATTCATGGTCTTTGGTGCTTCCATATAAGTTTTAGGATGATAGTTTCTATTACTGTGGAGGATGTTTTTTAAATTTTTATATGGACTTTGCTTTAAAACTGATGATGACCTTAAGTAATACAGCCACTTGCACAGTATCAAGTCTGAAAATGCAGGAACATGGAAGGTTTTTCTCCTTCAATTTCTCTCTTCAGAATATTATACTTTCATAGTAGAGGAATTTAGCTTTCTAAGTAAGGTTATTCCTAGATATTTTATTTCTTTTATTGATGATTTCTTGGTGGAATTGTTTTGCTGATTGCCTTCTCGGCATGTATATTATTGGTATATACATTTTCTGTTCATTTTTATATACTGATACTTTTCTGAAAGTGTTTACCAGATTTAATAGTCCTTTACTTGAGTATTTAGAGACTTTTAAGTATAAGATAATAACATTTAAAAACAGTGATAATTAGAATTCTTCCTTTCCTATTTTTATTCCTTTATTTCTTTCTCTTATCTAGCACTGGTTAAAATTAAAGCAGTATATTGACTAATAGTGGAGAAAGTGTGCAACCTTATCTCATTCCTGGCTATAGGGACAATGCTTTCTGTTTTCAACCATTCAGTGAAATGTTGGTTATAGGTTTGTCAACATATCCTTTAGTGCATTGAACTATGTTACTTCTATTCCTAATTTTTTTCAGGACTCTTATCATGAAGGGATAGTGAATATTTTCAAACGATTTTTATGTATTTATAGAGAATATAATGTAATTTTTGAACTTTGTTATATGTTTTTGCTGCAATATGTTTTTAATTTACATCCCTGGAGCAAAACCAACTTGGCAATGGTGAATGATATATTGAATGTGTGGTTGAATTCAGTTTTCAAGTATTTATTAAGAATTCTTGCATGCATATTCATCAATTATTTGGGACTATAGTTTTCTCCTTTTTTGTTTTGCCTTATCTGTTTGAGGACTAGAGTAACACTGACTTCAAAAAATGACTTTGGAAGTATTCCATCTCTATTTATAGAATAATTTAAGGAGACTTGGCATTAGAATTCAAAAGCAAATTCATCCAGTCTTAAACTTTTCTTTATTAGTAGTCTATTTATTGCTATATCAATGAATTTGCTCATTTAAGGTTTACTCATTTAAATTGTTTATATGACCTAGCTCAATTTTGATAAGTCATATGTGTCTAAAAATTTATTCATGTTTCATAGATTTTTAAATTTATCAGTATATAAGTTTTCAAAGTATTCTGAAATGATCCTCTGAATTTTAGTGACATATGTTATGATATCCCCTTTGGCCTCTGATTTTGCTAATTTGCATCCTATCAGTTTTGCATTTGGTTAGTTTCCCTAAATATTTGTCAATCTTCTTTATGTTTATTGGATTATAAATACTTATGGCATAAAAACAGTGACTTTGTGTTAATTTTGGGTGGAACAATAGAAATCCAATATAAAAGTGTAATCTCATGTCCACTAACATAGTGTTGTTAACTTGGAATGAAGTATTATATGCATCAGAGCTGAGTTAGATGTTGTAAAGGACCATTTTTTTTAAGTTTTCCTGACTCCCTTTGGGGAGGAAACAGAAATCAAATGGATGGATGGAGGAAAGAATAACTAAAATTTTCATCATTTTGGCTGTACGCAGTTAGGCTTCTAAATTAATTCTACTGGTAATGTTAGAGCGAATAAAAATAGGTAAAGATGATGATAGAAGAACTTGGGAGTGGTCATCAAAGTTATCATGGTAAAGAACATGGAAACTTGATGAGGATAAAGAATATATATATATCCATAACAAATGATCCAACTTTGGGGAAAGATGCTAAGAAATATAAATCTGAATTAAAAGAGCAAGGATAACTGTCTCCATATTCTTACCTACATAAACAACCATACAGTCCTTCCCATCTCAGTTCAAGCAAATATGAAAGTTGTAGAAATAAAAACTAAGGTGATAAGATCAACTTATAGCTGAATCATAGTCCCTCAGAACAATTTTTCTTTGAAATGCCCAAAAGAAGTTTCCTTCAAATTCAAAATTCTTCATAAGCTAAGAGCTAGAACATCTAGAAAAATGTAGATATATAGAAAATTCTTGACAGGGTCCCAATTTATTAAAAAAAAGAATTAAGTTATAATTCTGATTATATGAGACACACATATGAACAATTCAATTTAAGAATTTTCTATTTCATAGTTTCATCATGTTATCCAAGTAAGCTTAGAGAGCATGAAAGAGTTGCTTGTGGGAAGAGGTACCTCTGAGAAATTGATTCCCAGTGAGCAGTCACCTGGGGAGATTTCTGTTTATACCAAGATACAATGGGAGAAGCTCTTTGTCCTGCTGATACTTTGTAGTATTGTTGGCTTCCAGAGAATGAATGGTGAGGTTGAATTCTTTCCCTGACCCACTACCAGTGAGACTAGCTGAGACTCCAGATTCTACAATAAATGCCAAATAAACAAGGAGTTCAGGAGGTTGTTCTGGTTTCTGCTGATACAAGTTCAGAGAGATGGCAATTTAAGCATTATGTTTATAAACTGGGTGGCTCTGCAGGATAACATGGCCCCAAGATCTGCACATATGGCCAAGGAGCCTTGATGCTGAATAACACCCTGAATAACTTGGGGAATGAGAAACACATCCCATCAATGTTCATAGATGTATTGATAACATCCCAATTTTCGTCTATTTCATTGATAACACTTATACTCACAATCACAGGTATCATTTTGCATAACCAGAAAACAAAAGGTATTGACTGGGGTTGTTGAAGCCTACAACAAATAACTTAATTCTAGTGACCAAGAACCCAGAGAGACAGAGAGCACTTATGATTAACGTGAGTGTGCCCTGTGATTATCTTCATACCTGTACCCAGAACACAGAGAAGAAGCATCACAGTAAAGGTGTCTGAACCCATCTCTGAGAGGTGACCTATAGGCTTATCCTCACAGGCCCTGGCCAGATAACTGTAAAGATCCTTTGAACAGAGGTGAACTTTACTATTGATTCATCATACAGTAGAGCTCTGGAAACATCAGTTGGTTCTCAAATGGGACACCTGCTGAACCCCATGGGAGTTAGTGCTATCAAAATTTTCTTAGGGCAACTGTAACATTTCCCTAGGGATTTTGTGAATTCTCCATTTAGTCTTAACCTCCTACTCTGTCTGACATGTCATGAGGGGTGGTAGCACACTGTGTTTATTCTACCATAAAAACAAAAGATGTATGGTTCCTTATTTATCATATATATTTAAACAGTTTTAGATGAAATATTTTTCACTCTACATTTTAAGGACATCTTTTCAATATTAGAAATATAGTGCATCTCTAAATGCCAGGGCAACTGGAAGTTGAGGAATAAGGACTGTGGTACTATCTTGTTACTACTCACCCATTTAATGCATTTGGCCCTGTGTTCTGGGACAGTCTATTAACAGAGCTCTGAGCAGAAGTCTTTGAAAGCAGACGCTTAGGCAAAGCATCAGAGAGTTTGAAAGAAAAGTTTCGAGCAATGAGTCTTGAGGACAAATAATTGAAAGAGGAGACAATATTCCATTACTACATGAAATGTAATGTATGTTTATTAAATGTCTAGAAGTCATATTAAAAGAATACTTTTCACTAATGTTCAACCAAATTTCCAAGTCAAACTATTCTAATTCCAACTGTACTTTTAAACAAGTTTTTTAAAAAATAAGTTATTTTCAACAGAATTTATGTATTGTGAGTATATAAATACAAACCTGAATGACATGCATATGGTATCAGTACATGTATATAATGATTACAAGTCACAGAATGTATATCTCTATCTCAGCCTATCTTTTGAGTTTTAAATATATACTGGAGTTTATCTTAGACAGTACACAAGTACCTCAGTACTTCCAAAGCTGATCTACAATATTTTCCTCATCACAAACATTATATCGAACAATGAGTCACCACATACTCAGGAGTCACCCTGTCACTACTCCTCTAGTCATCCAGTTCTTCTCTCATTTCTAAAGGCCTCAAATAGCCCTCTGTCAATAACAGATCTAAGGTGCTACAGATCCTCATGGGGGTTAGATGTGAATATTTAAGTTAACAAGATCTGGTAGAACAATTCTTCATTTATTTCTACCCAAATTAAAATATACAAAATTGTGTGTCTTCAGTATCATGAATAATTCCTAGAAGAGAAATTATGAACAAATCAAACAAATCCCTGAATCACAGATCTTTCATTTTAATTCAATGTGAAGATAATAAACAAATACTATTTCTGTTGCTGCTTCTATCCTGCTCCCTGATACTTCTCCCCTGGAGCAACACAATTACTCAGGGAAAGTTGGCAGTAGACATCCAGGTTCAGTTATGGTCTACTCAATCCTCAGCATGGACTGAGTCAAAGGAAGAGGAAACAAGTAACAGTTGTGCACTCATGTTTCCTTGAAAAATAAACTCAAATATAATCTTATTAACAGCCAGTTATCCAAATCACCTTTTGATGAAAGACATTGATCTTTCATTTCCTCATTTCCCTTGTGATACAAGACACAGTCTAGTGTCAAAAAATCAGTGCTGTGACCCAATATATTAAAACATACTCAATTCACATTTAGCAGAGCATCATTTAATATTTTAATGAAGAACTCCAATGTCTTTTTTGTTTTAAATAAAGTATTTGTGGGAAAAAGTAGAAAGAGGCTTAATATGTGTTCTGACTCTCAGTACATATTGACACATAATGTGCTATGACTTACTAATCCTCAGCTCACAGCCTTGATCACATATGGAAGTGTAAGCATTTATGTTCTCTCTTCCAATGCATCTATTATGCCATTTGGAACTCACACTCAGAGCAGATCCTAATGTTTGCTAGACAATCTGTTTTGGAGGATGTTAATTCCAACGCAATTCCAGAGATGACATGAAAGATAGATGATTGGTCTTTTAGAAAAACTTCCTCCTTTGTCTGTCTGCAATAGTCTGCACTGACCTGGAGAGAAGTTAGGATCTCAGTGGAATGTGAGGAACAAACCCTGTATGTGGCATATGATTCTGGTATCTGTTGCCTTTAAGATTAAACCTCCTATTATATAAGTAGAAAAAACTATGAAAAAGTACAGAAAAAAGGAGAAATTGAATTTTAATAATACAAGTGAACCACTGGGTTAAGCTTCTTTTATTTCCTCTCTGGAAATTTCTTTCATTTCAGTGCTCTATTATTCATTGCAATGCAAATAAGGTCCTACCAATTACAAATGAAAACTTTCCAAGTGATTTTTCAGTTTTATTCAGTATATTTTGGTAATAGAGTTGAAACTATCCTCATTATATTTTTCACCATACTGTGTCAATTCCTTGGAATTGACATATACATTTAACAAAAATAATACTAAAATTGATAGTGCTGATGGTCTATTTTACTAATTACCTATAAATGTTCACATGCACTTCATATTCTATTTCTTTTTGTAAGTGATATGATTGATACTTTCTCAACAAAAAGAACACTGTTTTAATGGAGATTTGTAAACTACGTTTTGAAAACACAGAAGCTCTAAGGCAAGAAATGACGCTTATTTACATAACAGCTGACCTCTGAGATATGACTGGCATAATAGCATCAATACCACTGTGCACATTCCAGATTTCAATCTCCATGCTGTATGAGTATCAGTTGCCTATTTTTGTAGTCACCACTTGAGTGCTTGAAGATTTGTTGTTTTTCTTACACTTAACAATGGCATTGGCCTCATCTCCATTCATGAACATTTCCCTTCACATTTTTATTCTGCAGGTGAGAGCCATTGTCCAAATGCTCTTGGTCTCCAACCAACTTAGACAAGGTTGAATCTTGGCCTTGTATAAATCAGAGTTTCCTCTTTATCATAATCCAAGCTCCAATTCAAAGACCATAAGCATTAGCTTGAGAAAGAAACAGAGAATAGAGATTTTCTTTTTAAGACAATCAAAGCTGGCATCCATCACAGGGTTTTTATGCAAATGTAAAAAACCAGGAAACAAAGTTGAATATGGATATGTCCACTAAAAAAGAAGGTGTCATCTATTTAACTCACTAGGCATTCAGGAGATCTATGATTTGGACAATGAAAAATGTATGAATGTCAGATGTTTTGAGATAATGGGGTATCCTTTGTTCATTGGTAGTAAATTATTTGTTCTTTAATGGTCAAAATGATAACACAAATCCATTCCAAAATGTTTTAGAAAACTTTCAGTATGCACTCAAGTCCCATTCTTATATTTTTAAAAATTGAAGCAATAAAACAGAAATATTCTAAGTATAGTAATAAAGAATTGGTTTCCCTGAACCATTGATAGTAAGTTGAAGAAATGTTAGTCCTACTCTCTTAAGACTTTACACTTCCTATAAATAAGAAATTATCCTACATAATCAAGAAAGACAGCACTAATTTACCTGTCCATTTCATCATCAGGTTTATTTCAGTTTTTTTAATAATTTTACAATTATCCCCATAATGTCTTTGTCACACAATGCTCCAGTCCATGAACATGTTTCCAGGTCTCTTTCATATCCCCTACCCTGGAACAATTCTGCAGCCTATTCTTCAATTTTATGGTCTTATCACTTTTGGTAATCACACACCAGCTGTTTTGCAGGATGTTTCATAATTTGGATTTGTGTGGTTTTCCTTGGGGTTAAATTCAGTAATATAAAATTGGCAGATATGTCCAGAAGTGCTGCTGTGCTGTGCTCATTGTGTCCCATTATGCGGATAGTGGTCTCAATCAATTCCATCACTGACATCTTCACTTTAATGTCTACAGTAAGTTGATGGATGTTAGGCTTTTCTGCTACATACTTACTCTTTTTATTTTGAAATAAATAGGAATCTGTCAAGATGTTCTTTTATTATTTATGAATATCCATTTCCTAATCAAAATGTAACAATGAAATCTATTTTTGTCAATTTGCTATGACGTTATTACTATTATTATTACTACTAACTATTACATGCTAAAATTCCTCAAAATTGGACAGCAGCATCCCTTATTAGCTGGCTTCTCTTTACTTTTGCTATTACCTCATCATTTTGGGGACTTCTTAGTTTGTGACACATGATGGTTCAAGAGCATTGTATATTTTCCCTGTCCTTCACTAGTACTCAGTCAGTTCTCTAAGAACACTGTTTCTTTACTGGAGAGTGAAATTTAGATAAGAAAATGAGGGTACTATCAGTGCTTACTGGAGCTCAGGTATCATTACGTCTAGGTTAAGAAGAAGTATCTATCATTTAACTATCTATCTATACAACAAACCATTCTAAAACCCAGTGGCTCATAGCGCAAACCCTTTACATTCTTGGTTATGATGTTCTTCACAAGAGTCGTTCTGCTGATTTAGAAGATGTGCATGTGGGAGGTTAGCACGCTTATTTCCTTCCTATTATCTGCGACATTCTTTGGCAGATCTGGGGCAAGGAGCAACAACCTAAGATGAGACTACATAAGCAAACTGAAGTCCTAACATGGCCAATCCAAGAAAAACACAATTTTTTGCATGTTTTCATCTTGATAATTGCTCAAATTAATAAATATTTGCTCTATTATACTTTCATGGAAATCATGCCTTTGAGTAATTATGTTTTAAAGTTTATAGCATTAAGAAAGAGATTTTTATTTTGTCTGAATTGTAAAATAAAGTTGCATACATTTTCAACATGTGAATTTAAATAGTTTTTCCTCAAAGATCTTACCTGAAGTTAACATCTATTAAAGTAGCTTTTTAAACTTTCTATGGATCACTGTTATCATGTAGAAGTACAGATTCTCTTTCCATAGGTCTCAGATAAGTCAACTATTTTGCAATTGTAGCATTCTCTCAAAAAGGCTGAGGATACTGCTGCATTTTGACCAAATTTTGAGTAATAAATTTCATATATTATGGAAAGAAATTACTGTATCTCTATGTGTGTGTGTGAGAGTGTGTTTGTGTGTGTATACGTTTAAGATTTTCCATTTGTTTGTCAAGTAAGTGTTTGAAAGACTTAATGTCTGTTCTCATTTTTTTCTATTTGTTATAAAACAATGAAATTTTCTTGCTATGATCCACACTTGTTATATAATTTGGAAGCACTCTCAAATGTATTCCAAATGTATTCAAGGGCCTTCATCTAACTGGAAAATTTTTGAGAGTTGAGAAATAGTGAATATCGTGACTTTCAGGAGTCAATTTATTATAAGCAGCTTCTTTCTGGAAACATTTTTGCCCATTACCTTTCTCTTCTTTGGTTTCTTATACTTATGTAATAAGGATCCTCCCCCAAATTTGGAAGACAGAGGAGAGATTTTAATACCATCCACTGCCCCTGGGGTAGGACAGATGGCAGAGATGAGGACAGAATGTAATCTATAATAAGCAACTGATAGCATCAACAACTTCACCCTTGGGCATCTCACATATGGTATGACAGTTTATAATATCTATGACACATGCACATTGACAGCTGGTAGAGGACCAGTAATCCCTCATTTCTAGTAAATGGTCCTAGAATTGCCATACCTCCAGGCCTTTGAAAGCTCACCACAAAGAAATGATAAATATTTCAGGTGATTAATATGTTAACAGCACCAGTTTCACCATCACACAGTGAACATATGTTCTGAATAATCAGAATGTACCACAAAAATGTATACACATATTATGTGTTAATCAAGTACATTATTAAAAGATTAATTTATCTTTTCCCAGGGGAAAACTCCCTGGGAACACCTACAATGGTTCCTTCAATGATGGTTGAATCTCAACGAATGTCATAATCCAGGTTCCTCATGTGTACTGATTGTATCTGTTATTAATTCAGAAGAAGCACTACCATGTCTATCCTGTTAGGTCTGAGTAGATGGAAAGAGTGTTGTGGTGCAAAGGTACCTCCCTGCCCCTTTCTAACAAAACCTTCTCATGACCTTAAAATCCCACTTGTACCTGAAAAATCTTTTATTGGTGGAGCCCCAAGAAGGACATGCTGGGGCTCTGAGTTTCACACTTCTGCATCCCTGGGTGTTTTATGTTATGATTTGTATCTCTATGGAGAGAAAGCATAAATCTGTTGAAAGTAATAAGTTGCAACACCTTCAGGGGCCAGACTGCTGCTGGTGAGAGTGAAATCTGTCCCAGATCCACTGCCACTGAACCTTGGTGGGACCCCAGGTAGCAAAGTGGATACAACATAGATCAGGAACATAGGGGCTTTCCCTGGTATCTGTAGATACCGGGATAAATTGCTGCATATTCCCTGACTGGCCCTGCAAGTAATGATGAGTCTGTCTTCTTTAGATGCAGACAGGAAGAATATAGACTGTGTCATGTGGACGTCACATGTGGCACCTGCATTTGGAAACAAAAACAAATACCGTCACTGATAATCATTTTACAAGAGGACTTTCCTGGAAAGGTAGGAAAAATTGACCACACTAGACTGAGTATATTTCTATTTTCATTCCTTATCTGGGAACTAGAGAAGCAGAAGTCTGAGGAGCTGAGTAGGGGACCTTACATCCATGCTGAGTCTTTTCTGGGACTGATTCCTGCACAGGGT